GGGAGGAGGGGGGGCCCCATGGATGCCAGGTAGGGTCCACCTGGGCCTGTAGATGCTTCTGCAGCCGGGAGGCCCCTGCAGTCCTGGTTTGCTGAGCGGTTTCTGCAGACGCGTCTTTGTGGTCACTGATGAGGTCATGTGGGTGTTGTTTTCCCGTTTGTGAGGCGGATTAGATTGGGTTTTTGTACAAGCTGAACCGGCCTGTTCCTGGAGTAGTGCCCTTGCTGCTGGTTGTGTGATTCCCTGCGTGTATTCCTGGACTTTATTTGCTCATCCTGTGCTGAGGATTTTTGTGTCTATGATCATGAGCGATATTGGTCACTGGTTTTCTTTTTGTCTTGTTTTTTGTGTGGTTTTGGCATTGGGGTAATGCTCAGCTCATGAAATGAGTTGGGAAGTGTTGCCTCCTTTTTGTTTTCTACAAGAGGTGTAGGATTACTGCGAATTATGTTTTGATGGAATTTTCCAGTGAAACCATAGGGGCCTGGAAATTTCTATATTTGAAGTTTTTTTTTTTCCTGAGGAAGATTAGCCCTGAGTTAACATCTGTTGCCAAGCCTCCTCTTTTTCCTGAAGAAGATTGGCCCTGAGCTAACAGCTGTGCCCATCTCTGTCTATTTTTTTATATATAGGACACAGCCACAGCATGGCTTGGTAAGTGGTGCATAGGTCTGTGCCCGGGATCCGAACCTGTGAACCCCTGGTGCTGAAGCAGAGTGCATGAACTTAACCACTACGCCACCTGGCTGGCCTCTATATTTGAAGCTTTTAAATTACAAATTCAGTTTCTCTAGTTGTTATGGAACTATTCATATCATCAGCTTCCTCTTGGGTGAGTTGTGGTTGTCTGGGGTCTTGGGAAATTGATTCATTTCGTCCAAGTTGTTGGCTTTCCGTGTATAGAGTTGTTTGTAGTACTCCCTTATTAGCCTATGAATGTCTCTGGGGTCTGTAGTGAGATCCTTCTTCCATTCCTGCTGTTGGTCATTTCTGTCTTCTCTCTCTTTATTGGTCTTGCTGGAGGTTTATGAATTTTATTAGTCTTTTCAATGGGCCAATTTTGGTTTGATAGGTTTTTCTCCATTGTTATTCTGGTTTCATATTTCATTGATTCCGTTCTTTATTATTTCCTTCTTTTGGCTTGCTTTGCATTTATTTTACTCTTCTTTTTCTAGATTCTTGAGGTGAAAGTTTAGATTATTGATTTGAGACTTTTTAATTTTCTAATATGAACATTGAGTGCTATGAATTTCCCTGTAAGCTCAACTTTAGCTGCATCCACAAGTTTTGTTGTATTTTCATTCAGTTCACTGTATTTTTTAATTTCCGTTGAGACGTCCTCTTTTACCTATGGATTGTTTAGTAGGAGTGTGTTTTTTCATTTTCATGTGTTTGGAGATTTTCCTTGTTTTTTGTTTTTGTCTCTTTCTTTTATTGATTCTAAGGTGACTCCATTATGGTCAGAGAACATAATTTGTATGATTTTAGTTTTTTAAAATTTGTTGAGGTTTTTGTATGGCTCAAGATCTGGTCTATATTGGTGACTATTCCAAGTGCACTTGAAAAGAATGTGCACGCTATTGTTGATTGGAGTTATGTAAATGTCAGTTAGATCCTATTGGCTGCTGCCGATGTTCAATTCTTCTGTACCCTCCTGATTTTCTGTCTAGTGATTCTGTTAGTTACTGAGAGAGGGGTATTGAAACCCCTAACTATAATTGTGGATTTGTTTGTTTCTTTTTTCACTTCATGTGTTTTGAAGGTGTGCTGTTTGGTGCATACATAATTAGGATTTTTATGTCTTCTTGTTGGAGTGACCTTTGTAGCATAAGTAAAAAAAAAAAAAAAAAAGTTTTCCTTTTTGTCCCTAATAATTGTCTTTTTTGAGACATCTACTTTATCTGATATTAGTGAAGCCACTCCAGCTTTCTTTTGATTGGTGTTTGCAGAGCATATCTTTTCCCATCTATTTACTATTTAATTTTTTAATCTACCTATATCATTATGTTTGACATGAGTTTCTTGTAGACAGCGTATAGTTGTTCACTGCTTTTATCAACTCTGCCAGTCTTTCCCTTTACATTTAATGTAATTATTGATATGGTAGATGTATGCCATTTTATTATTTGTTTTATTATTTTGTTCCCTTTATTTCTCCTTTTTTTCTTTTTCTTGTCCTCCTGTGGTTTACTCGAGTATTTTTTAGTGTTTCATTTTGATTTATTATGTTTTTGAGCATATGTCTGTATGGCTTTTTTAGTGGTTGCTCTACAAATTAAAGTATATTTGTGTAATTTAACACAGTCTACTTATGTGGACCTTTTACCCCACTTCAGGTGAAACATAGGTTTCATTATCCTCCCTCCCTTCATAATTTAGTTGTCTTAAATATTTACATTCCTTGAGGACTACATTAGTGATATGATTTTTACAGTCATCTGACATTTTAAATAACTGAAGAGGAAACATTTACACACGTTTACCTGTTCCATTATTCTTTATTCATTCCTGATGTTCCAGGTTTCCTTCTTTTATTTTTCATGTTTGAAAAGTTGTTTTTAGCAATTGTCTTAGGGCAGGTGTTGCAGGTGACATATTCTCTTAGTGTTTCTTCATTTGAGAATACAGATGGTCCCTGACTTACAATGGTTTAACTTATGATTTTTCAATTTATGAAAGTGTGAAAGCAATAAGCATTCACTAGAAATTGTACTTTGAATTTTGAATTGTGATCTTTTCCTGGGCTAGCGATGTGCAGTGGGATACTCTCTTGTGATGCTGGGTAGCAACAGTGAGCTGCAGCTCCCAATCAGCCGTGCCATCACGAGGGTAAACAGCTGATACACTTACAACTGTTTTGTACCTAAACAACTATTTGTTTTTCCCTTTCTTAGAGTATTCAATAAATTACGAGATATTCAACACTGTTTTGTAAAATAGGCTTTATGTTAGAAGATTTTGCCCAACTATAGGCTAATGTAATTCTTCTGAGCATGCTTAAAGTAGGCTAGGCTAAGCGATGATGTTCAGTAGGTTAGGTGTATTAAATGCATTTTCAATTTACGATATTTTCAACTTAAGATGGGTTTATTGGGATGTAACCCCATCATGAGTTGAAGAAGATCTGTATCTTTATTTTGCTTTCAGTCCTGAAGGTTGTTTTTGGTGGATATAGATTTCTGGGTTGAAAATTCTTTTCTTACAGCACTTGAAGAATGTGACACCACTTCCTTCAGGCCTCAGTGGTTTCCTAAGAGTAATCCCCTGCCATGTGAGTGTTTTTCCCCTGGGGGTAATGCCTTTTCTCTCTGGTTACTTTCGAGATTCTTTTGTTGTCTCTAGTTTTCAGTGGTTTGATTCTTGTGTGTCTGGGCATGGCATTTATTTATTTATTTATTTTTTTTGTGAGGAAGAGCAGCCCTGAGCTAACATCTGATGCCAATCCTCCTCTTTTTTTTTTTTTTTTTTGCTGAGGAAGACTGGCCATGGGCTAACATGTGTGTCCATCTTCCTCCACTTTATATGGGACGCCGCCACAGCATGGCTCAACAAGCGGTGCGTCGGTGTGTGCCTGGTATCTGAACCAGGGATCCGAACCAGCGAACCCTGGGCCGCCACAGCAGAGCGTGTGCACTTAACCACTTGTGCCACCAGGCCGGCCCCCTGGGCATGGCATTTTTTGCCTTTATTCCGTTTAGAGATTTCTCGTCTTCTTGAATATCTTTTGCCAAATTTATATCTTTTGCCAGATTTGGGAAGTTTTCAGCCATCGTTTCTTTAGTTTTTAAAATTTTTTATTTTTAGCCATGTTATCTCTCTTCTTGGAACTATAATTGGAACTCCATTGGGATCCCAATGACTTGAATGTTAGATCTCCTTTTCTTCTTCCACAGGCCACTGAGGCACTGTTCATTTTTTTTTTTTGTCTGTTTTCTCTCTGTTGGTCAGATAGGACAATTTTGATCAATCTCTCTTTACATTTGTTCTTTTTTGGATTTTTTCCTCTGTCATCTCCAAGCGGTTATTGAGCTGTTCCTGACAATTTTTTTTGTTCGTTTCAGTTATCGTGTTTTTCGTTTCTTAAGTTTCTGTTTGTTTCTTTATCTTCTGTTTCTTTGCCAAGACTTCCTATTTTTTCATTTGTTTCAGGAGTGTCATAATTGCTCATTGAAATTTTTTTTATAACTGTTGCTTTAAAATTCTCGTTAGCTAATTCTGACTTTTGTCATCCCAGTGTTGGTGTCTATTGATTGTTTTTTCTCATTCAAATGAAATTTTCCTACTTGTTGGTCATTTTTTATTGTGGACATTTGGGGTATTATAAGACTGCTTCGTATTTAAATCTCATTACTCATTACTGGCACTCAGTGGGTACTGCTTTGTTGCTGAGGTGGTAGCCAGGCTCCTGTCACACACACAGCCTCTGCAGACCCCTGTGTGCCAGGAGGGGAAGGGCAGCACCTCGTAACAGCCAGGCCAGGACAGGGTCCACTTACATGGTCCTGGTGCTGGCCACTGCACAAGGCAGGTGTACAAAGTGTGATTTTTTCTTGGTGTTGGGTTGGAGTGGGGCTAATGTTGTCAGGAGTCTGTCCTTTGACCGTGGACATCAGGCTTACCCTTATATTTTGCTCAGTGTCCATGAGTTTCTGAGTTGCCAGTTTCTTTGGCCCTCTGGTTGGTATGTATAGGAGACAAATAAAAAACCCCAAAACCAACCCAGAGCACTCACTGCTTGACTGTTTTCTTGAGGTCCCTAGACCATTGGCCCTTCTGTTCCCTACCCTTCACAGTCATCTGGTGCTTATTTCCTGTATTGTTTCTAGGGTTTTTAGGTATCACAAGTGGGGAGGAATAGGGTGAAATGTGTCTACCTTGTCGTGTCTGGAACTGGAAGCCCAATTTTAAATTTAATCAAGACGTATTTTAAAACATAAATTTTCCTGGGAAAGTATTGGTGTATCCAGGCCCCAACTGTCTTTTGGATCACAGAAAGTTATTTTTGTAGTGACATTTATTTAATGGATGCTTACTGGGTGTGCCATGTAGAGGCATATGGTGCACAGAGCGTGCAGTCTGCCCTCATGTGTACCGGGCATGGAGTGGTCAGGTTAGCTAACTTGTGGGTTTCAGATTGTGATCGCGGCACGGGGGCTACTCAGGTGATGGAGTTGAGCAGCCAAGAGTGGAAGTGGGTGCCCAGTTAGAGGGTATTCCTGGTGAGAGAGGGTTTCAGAGGGGAAGCCGTAGGAGTGGGGAGCAGGGGGTGGGCTTGGAGACATTTCGAAGGTAAACATAAGCTAAAAGTTTAAATGCAATTCTTGTTCTTTAATATTGATATTCAGACTTTGAGTGAGTTGCATTATTTTTGTGACTTTTTCAGATTATGAGGTTACTATATCTCACTTTTATTATAATAATTTATTTTCAATTAAAAACTAAGGTTAAAATCTCATAATTTTCTATTTTTAGCTGAACTTCAGTCATTATCTATTCCTGGGACTTACCAAGAAAAGATTACTCACCTAGGAAATTCTTTGATGAATTTAACAGGTCTAAAATCTTTAGATCTCTCGCGCAACTCCCTGGTTAGTCTAGAGGTAAGTTTTAGGTTTGTTTCTTAAAATAAAATTTATTGCTATCAACGGCAGTGGAAAATACATTTATTGTAAAAAATACAATCTGTTTTATAACTATGCTTATAATACTTGTAAACAGTATATGAAAAATGATTCTAAATGTTGTGTTGTTTTCCTTGTGTTTACTATGAGCTAGATTTCTTACCCATCATGTTGCATCTTTAAACTATTTTGACAACCAAAAGTTGTCTGATGAAGATGGTTGTATCTTCAAAGGAAATAAAACAAGGCCAAAAAGACTGATGTGTGCGTGCCTGTCACTCTCCATCCCTTTATCAGCTGTGTTATCCCTCTTCCGCTGTCTGCACTTCACCTCTGTTTATAGCCTGACTCTTGGTGGCCTCGGGCCCTTGAATGGCAGCACCTCGAATGTGGGGCTTGCTGCAGCGTGCTTGACATGGCAGGCGCTTGGTCTTGGTGAGTGAGTGAGACATCAGCCAAGTGATGGCAGTGGGAAAATTGTGTAAACACTGCTTGTGGCTTGATACAGAGAGGGGGTTCTTGCCCTGAAAGAAAGGCAGGACATCAGTGCCCTGGAACATGATACTCTCAGCACCCCTGACATGGGGATTAGGGGCCTGCTCAGAGTCACTTGCGAGTTTCAGTCCAGGCTATACTTGGGGCTGGCTCATCGCTCAACCTTCTTAAGACTCTATTTTCTAATCTGTAAAATGGCAGCAATAATAGTTCTTACCCTATAGGGTGTATGTGGATTGAATGAAATTGTGTAAGTTACTTAGCTTGGCACATGCTGAGAACTCAATAGCTATCGGCTGTCCTCAGTACTGTTGCAACTGTTGCACATGTGGCATTTCAAACTTCTCTGCATCTGTCTTCATCATGTGTGAAGACAGAGAACCTCATTGATAGAACACAACTTATCGTCATGCTTGTCCTGGTAACGGTATGTATTCGTTACAAGTGCGTTTGTTAATTTGGGTGATCAGTTCGTATTGATGCCCCATTTTACTATGTGTTTATTTTTGAAAGCGTGAACTAATTCAGCATTTTGTCCTGTGAACAGGGCATTCAGTACCTGACTGCACTGGAGAGTCTCAATCTCTACTACAATTGCATTTCCTCGTTAGCAGAAGTGTTTCGACTTCACTCCTTGACTGAACTCTCGGACGTGGACTTCCGGCTGAACCCTGTGGTGAAGAATGAGTCTGATTACCGCCTTTTTGTTGTGCACATGCTCCCGAAGCTCAGGCAGCTGGGTAGGTGCCTTGGCCGTGCTCACACCCTTGCTCAGTGGAGCCATGATAGGTGTTTCTTGCTCCCAGAGCAATCATGCTGTCGATCTTTCTGAAAAGGGAAGTTGATTTTCTGCTCTGATGGTGTGAGTCCCTGTGTCTCGTGGGATGGGTCTTGTAGGAGAGCTGCTTGGGAAGGTGGCAGGGACAGATAACTGCCAGGGAGGCTGGGAGCACAGGCATGGGCCAGGCTGCTCGGTCACATTCAGGCTCTCTGCTTTCTCACTGTTTGACTTGGGCACGTTACTGAACTTCTGGTGCCCTATTTCCTTGCATGGCCCCCCGGGCATCATCTCAGGCTCAGGTAGACAACTGGAGTCTACCTGATTTCACATCCACCTGGAAGGATACAGGACAAGAAGTTCGTCATGCCACACCCTCTCCCAGGTGACAGAGATGAGAGAGGGTTAGGTTCTGTTGGTGGGTGCAGCCACCAGCTTGGCTTAGTAGCCCATGTCCCTAAAAGAAACGGATCTCTGTGACAGGCTTGCAGGCAGAGCTTCAAGGCTGCCCACTGGGCATGCTAGTTGGGAGGGTCACACTTGGGAAAGCCACAGTGGCACCTTCCCACCCACTTCCCCAACTACCAGGAGCTGTGTTTGCCATGAGCAGTGTGGCCAGTGGCATCGCTGGTATGCCCCCATGTTGCACTTCCAGGGGAGAGAGCTGGAGTGTGAGCCTGAGGGCAGGCTGGCAGTGGAGACCGTGGGGAAGGAGCGGGCCTGGGGTCTCATACCCTCTGTCCTGCTGTGTGAAGGGGGGTGATAAGTGCCGAGGAGCGGTGGTGTGGGAATGTCTGATTGAAGAACAGTGGTCTGTCTGTGTCCCTGCTGATCCCTGCGTGTCCTCAATCCTGAGGGCCCATTCACAGTTTGGCAAGGCTAGGGGGCAATCTGGGGCATCTCCATCCCCTGGGTACTGACCTAAGGAAACCAAAATGAGACCCAGATCATGGCAGCACTTGTCGGAGAAGACATGGTCCAGCAGTGTCCATGTGGTAAATGCTGGGCTGTGGGCAGAGCATGGCTACTGTCCTCTCAGTATCGGTGAAAACCTCATGTTCTGCCTCAGCTGCCAGCAGTTTCTCGCATGAACATCTCAGCCGCACATGTGTGTTGGCTTACCTCCTGGTTCCCCCAACACTGGTGGGTGGTGGGTTCTGGGCAGTCTGGCTGCTCTGGTGGGCCACACCTGCTGGGGGCAGGGGTGGGCTGTGGGTATTAATGACTGGCCTCCAAAAGCACACTTTAGTTTCAAACCTACTTAGAATTTTGATGTTTAATTTTAAATTTTATTTGGGAGGAATAAGTGCTTGTGTTGTAACTTATTTGACTGTTTACATAACTTATAAACAGTGAATTTGGCTCTTTTTCAGAAGGATTACAGTCCTTATGGGAAATTTTTGCAACCATCAGTCTTAAATCATTACTTTCCCTTTGTCATAAAAGTTTTAGATTCAGAATCTTATAGTGTTTGTATAGAGAAGGGATATGAGAGTCTTTCCACATGTGAAAGATATTTTCAGTTGTGAAAAAGGAGCATAATTGAAAGTCGAGGTCAGGCCTGCCCCTTGGCGTAGCGGTTAAGTGCACGCGCTCTGCTACTAGCGGCCTGGGTTTGGATCCCAGGTGCGCACCGACGTACCACTTGTCAGGCCATGCTGTGGTGGCGTCCCATATAAAGTGGAGGAAGATTGGCTGGATGTTAGCTCAGGGCCAGTATTCCTCAGCAAAAAAAAAAAAAAGAAAGAAAAAACAAAACAGGAGGATTGGCATGGATATTAGCTCAGGGCTGATCTTCCTCACACACACAAAAAAAATAAATAAATTTTTTAAAAATTAGGAAAAAAAAAAAAAGAAAGTCAAGGTCATTGCAGGAATCGTGGAACTCTTAGAAGGCCCACTCTACCTAGCAGGGTGCCCATCAGATCAGAACTCAGTCGTTGGTTCCCAGTGAATAGCTGAAAGGCCCTGGAGGAATGTGGAGGAAGAGAACAGCGAGGGGGCATCTAGGGGTGACATGGGGGGAGGGCTGTGGGTAGAAGCAGGGTCGGGGAGCAGAGGAAACACCCCATATGTGTCTAGGGGTTGTGTGGTCTGGGAGAATGTTGCAAAGTCAGGAAAAGGTATAGTTTTGGGGGAATGTGAGTTTGCATTTGATTTTAGCCATATTGAGTTTGAATTTGTAGTGGAACAGTCCAGAGAAATATTTTTAGAGTAGGGATTTGGAACTGATTCAAAAGTGAAGTTACAGCTCAATGAGTAGAGTTGTGTGGTGTTAGCACAAAGGAGTGTCCACGCCGTGAGAGCAGGTGCCATGTTTGGGGAAAGGGAAGAACAGAGGCCAGAAGATCCCAGACAGGTGTAAGATGACAAGGGGTCACTGAGGAGACAATAGGGGCAGGATTACAAAGGCAGTTGTGTCTCGAGGAGGAGCTCCTGGGGGGTGTCCCCAGGAGCAGAGTGGGGAGGAGCTGCAGCTCACAGAAGCACTTCTGTATCTGTATGATATTCACAACTCCTTTATTTTTTTGCTTTGAAAGTGGTTATAGTTGCTATCCTTCTTTTACTTATTTCTTATTATATATAATTATAGTCATGCGCCATATAATGATGTTTCTGTCAAGAATGGACCACATATACGATGTAGGGTGGTCCCATAAGATTAGTACTACATAGCCTAGGTGTGTAGTAGGCTGTACCATCTAGGTCTGTGTAAGTACACGCTGTGATGTTCGCACAACGACGACATACCCTAATGAGGCATTTCTCAGAACGCATTCCCGTTGTTAAGTGATGCATGACTGTATGTACTTGTCGGGGTGTGCCATAGGTTAAATACTCTTTGGGAGGCAGCTTCAGAACTTGACCACCATTTGTGACATTATTTATATGGTAAAATGCATGGCAAGTTCCAAAGCACTGACTTTGAGCGTTTGGGAATCATCTTATGTTCAGGTATTTACTGAGGGAAGTGGCAGGGGTTGTTGAGTAGAGGCCTTCTGAGGCCCAGGGCACACATGTGGGGACAGTTGAAACTTCTCTTGTTTCCCAGTCCTAGGGATCTGAGGATGCAAACCCTAGGCATAAACACCTGGCTAGGGTGTCCTCTCTCTTTAGTGTGTTCAGGATTCTCATCCATGGAGACTTCTCAGGTGTGCTCCGTGTGGTTTGAGAACCTCATCCAGCACCCAGAATGTGCATTAAAAGAAGGGAGATGAAAAGGTCGTGCTTGTGTGTGAACTCAGACGTGTATTTCTTTTCCTGCGGCAGCAGCCTGCCTCCATAGTGGTGTCAGAGGAGTGAGCTTTGTACAAGCAGGCTGGCCCTCTCAGAATTATTGCTCAGCATCTCTGGGAACCAAGTGGAGCCACCAGAGCCCAGCATTCCTTTACGGGGTCTGCCCAGTGCTTATAGGGGGGATGGTGTGGCAGGATCAGCCCCAAGGGGCTGGAAGCTCCTAGGACAAGCAGTGGCGGTCCTGGTCATGTGTAGTGTGCAGCAGGACGGGAGACAGGGGCGCCTTTGCTTCCGAGGGGAAGGTGATGTGCTCCAGGGATACTGGAAGGTGCACGCAAGGGATTGGTTGTTGGGGTCCTGCTAGTTCCTCTGTGGCGTTTTCTCCCTAGATGATCGCCCCGTGAGATCGAGCGAGCAGAAAGCTTCCTGGCTGCATTTTGCTTCAGAGGAGTCGTTCAACTCACAGCAGAGCTTCCCAGCTGTTTTCAGCATTGGAAGGTATGAACAGAAGTGGTATCTGAATGTTGAGAGAGGTTGTTCAGACTTGCCTATTGATAGAACATTCGACTAAAACATGTAAACTACTTTGTGTGTGCTGATGGCCACCTAAAGGGCAGAAACGCAGAAGAGAGAAGGAGAAACACTGATACCAGCTGGGGCTCAAGGAGACGATTGGATGGTGTCTCTCTTCCTGTTGTCCACATTTTCTATAAGTTATTTTTTAATATTTAAGATATTTATTAGAGTAATGTAAAATCAAATAGCACAAAGGCCTTGTGATGAGAAGCAACAATCCCTTCTCCCCACTCCTTGGCCGGTTCCTCGGAGGCAGCCACTCTTCACCTCTGTAATTGTTTCTGCCTCCAGGTTCTGATTGAGTTACTTTCTCATCTCCAAACAATACAACCACATTGCCGTTTCTGGGTGTGACCTGACTGCTGCCATAGCCCCTTCTTCCCCCATCCCCGTGGTGACAGTTCATGGAATGTGCTCCTTCCTGTGGTCTCCTCGGTGCCCTGTGGCCAGTGCTCCCGGCTCTGCTCTGGTTGTGCTGTGGGAGCAAGTGCCTGCCTGTGCCCTACATCTATGCCACCTCCCAGCTCCTGCCATCTGCCTCTTTAAGTTTTAAGTTTCGGTTGTTGGGGTTGGTAGTATTTAAATGTGTTCTGAAACCATAAAGAGTCTTCATGCTTTTTGCATGGCTTGATTATAAAGGGCAGAAGTCAATAAAACTGTGTTTACATTGCTTGTAATGTGCTACAGTTATGTACTCTTTCTTGTATAAAAGTCTGAAGCATTTAATAGTTTTCTTTTTCTTGCATTATATGCCTTAGCTCATCTATAAAGTCCTCTAATGTAGGAATTGGCCAACTTTTTTGTGTAAAGGGCTGGAGAGTGAATGTTTTTAGCTCTGTAGACCATACGATCTCTGTTCAACTTCTGAACTCTGTCTGTATAGCCACAGGCCATATCTAAATGCATGCCTGTGTTCCAGTAAAACTTTATTCACAAAAATAGGCAGTGGGGGCTGGCCCGGTGGCGTAGTGGTTAAGTTTGCGTGCTCCACTTTGGCAGCCTGGGGTTCTCAGTTTTGGATCCCAGGCACGGACTTCCGCACTGCTTATCAAGCCATGCTGTGGTGGGCGTCCCACATATAAAGTAGAGGAAGGTGGGCATGGATGGTAGCCCAGGGCCAATCTTCCTCAGCAAAAAAAAAAAAAAAAAAGGCAGTGGGCCAGATGTGACCTGTAGGCCATACTTTGCCAACTTCTGTTCTAATGTTTCAAGATCAGTTCTAAATCCTTGGGATCTCCTGTTCCCTCAGATGCCTCCCCTGGAGCACCCCTCCCCTTACTTCTCCATTTAAAACCACACTAAATGCCATGTAGACAGCTGCACCTGGTACCCTGTGCAATGTTCTGAAAGGTTTTTTGCCCCCCCAAATTCATATGTTGGAATTCTAACCAGTGATGTGATGGTGTTAGGAGATAGGGACTTTGGGAGGTGATAAGGTCTTGAAGGTGGAGCCCTCATGAATGGCATTGGTGCTCTTATAAAAGAGACCCCACAGAGCTTCTTAGCACCTTCCTTCCTATGAGTTTGAGTCGGATGGTGTCAGTTCCCTGACTTTGTTTTGTCCTTCAATATTGAGTTGCCAGTGTTAGGTCTTTTGTCTCTCCCACGTGAACTTTAGAAACAGTTAGTATCCACAAAATACCTTACTGGGATTTTGATTGGGATTGCACTGAATCTACAGATGGTGTTGGGAAGAACTGACATCTTGACGCTGTTGAATCTTCTTATCTATGAACATGGAATATCTCCCCATTCATTTAGTTGTTCTTTGGGATTTCATTTATCAGAGGTTTGTAGTTTTCCTCATATAGATCTTGTACATATCTTGTTAGATTTATACCTTAGTATGTCATTTTTCTGATGTTAATGTAAATGTTATTGTGTTTTTTAATTTCAAATTATTCATTGCTGGTATATAAGGAAGCATTTGACTTTTGTATAATAACCTTGTGTATTAGTTTCCTAGGGCTGATGTAGCAAAGTACCACAAACTGGGCAGCTTAAAATCACAGAAATTTATTGTCTCACAGTTCTTAAGGTTGGAAGTCTGAAATCAAGGTGTTGGCAGGGTTGATTCCTTCTGGAGGCTGTGAGGGAGAATCCATTCTGTGACTCTCCTAGCTTCTGGTAGTTTGCTGGCAATCTTTGGTGTTCCTTACCTTGTAGATTCCTCCCTCTAATCCTCTTTCTTCACATGGCTGTCTTCTCTCTGTGTCCTTCCACAGAGTCTCCCCTTTGTGCATGTTTATTTCTGTCTCCAATTTCCCCTTTTCATAAGGAGACCAGTCAGATTAGGGCCCACCCTAATGTCCTCATATTGACTTGATTACCTCTGTAAAGAACCTGTTTCCAAATAAGTTCACATTCTGAGGTACCAGGTGTTGGGACTTTAGCATCTCTTTTTGGGGAACACAGTGTGACCCGTAACACCTTGCATTTTATAACCTTGCTATAATCACTTATTAATTCCAGGAGGTTTTCTTCTTTTTTTGGTTGATTCTTTGGGATTTTCTACATAGACGGTCTAGTCATCTGTGAACAAAGACAGTTTTATTTCTTCCTTGCCAATCTGTATACCTTTTATTTCTTTTTCTTGTCTTATTGCATTTGCTGGGACTTCCAGTATGATGTTGAAAAGCAGTGGTGAGAGGGGACGTCTTTGCCTTGTTCCTGATCTTAGCAGGAAAGCTTCAGGTTTCTGACCACCAAGTGTGATGTTAGCTGTAGTGTTTTGTAGGTGTTATCAGGTTAGGAAGTCCCTCTCTATTCCTGGTTTACTGACCATTTTTATCATGAGTGGATGTTGAATTTTGTCAAATGCTTTTTCTGCATCTATTAATAGGATTGTGTGATTTTTCTTTTCTTTAGCCTGTTGATGGGGTGGATTACATTAATTGATTTTCAGACGTCAGCCTTGCATACCGTTGGAATAAATCCCACTTGGTCGTGGTGTTTAATTCTCTTTATATGTTGTTGGATTCAATTTGCTAATATTTTGTTGAGGATTTTTGCATCTATGTTCATGAGAGATATTGGTCTGTTTTCTTATATTGTCTTTGCTGGTTGTGGTGTTAAGGTAACCTCATAGAATGAAAGTATTCCCTCTGTTTCTGTCTTTTGGAAGAGATTAGAGAATTAGTATAGTTTCTTCTTTAAATGTTTGGTAGAATTCACCAGCGAAGCCATCTGGACCTGGTGTTTTGGAAGGCTATTAATTATTGATTCAGTCTCTTTAATAAATATATCTAGTCAGATTGTCCAATTCTCCTTGTGTGAGTTTTGGTAGATTGTGTCTCTCTAAGAACTGGTCCATTTCATCTAGATTATCAAATTTGTGGGCATAGAGTTGTTCATAGTATTCCTTTGTTATCCTTTTAATGTCCGTGGGATCTGTAGTTGTGCCCCCTCTTTCATTTCTGATGTTAGTAATTTATGTCTCTTTTTTTCTTAACCTGGCATAGAGGTTTTTCGATTTTATTTATCTTTGTAATGCACTAGCTTTTGAATTTGTTGGTTTTTCTCTATTGATTTCATGTTTTCAGTTTCATTAATTTCTGCTCTAATTTTTATTATTTCTTTTCTTCTGCTTGCTTTGAATTTAATTTGCTCTTCTTTTTCTAGTTTCCTTAGGTGGATTATTGATTTTAGATCTTACTGTTTTTCTAATATATGCATTCAATGCTATAAATTTCCCTCTTAAGCATTGCTTCCACTGCATCCCACAAATTTTGATAAAATATATTTTCTTTTTCATTTAGTTCAAAATGTTTTTTAATTTCCCTTAAAATTTCTTCTTTGATGCGTGTGTTATTTGGAAATATGTATGTTATCCCAGATATTTTGGGATTTTCCAGTTATCCTTCTGTTATTGATTACTAGTTTAATTCCATTGTGGTCTCAGAGCAGACATTGTGTAATTTCTCTTTTTTTAAATTTGTAAGGATGTGTTTTATGGCTCAGAATGTGCCCTATCTTGGTGAGTGTTCCATGTGAGCTTGAGAAGGATGTATAATCTGCTGTTGTTGGATAAAGTAGTGTATACATGTCACTACATTCAATTGATTGATGGTGTTGTTGAGTTCAACTCAACATGCCCTTACTGATTTTCTGCCTGCTGGATCTGTCTATTTCTATTAGAGGGGTATTGAAATCTCCAACTGTAATAGTGGATTCATCTGTTTCTCCTGTAGCTCTATCAGTTTTTGCCTCACGTATTTTGATGCAATGTTGTTAGGTGCATATACGTTAAGAATTGTAATGTCTTCTTGGAGAATTGACCCCCTTGTCATTATGTAATGCCTCTCTTTAACCCTGATAACCTTCCTTGCTTTGGAATCAGCTCTGTCTGAAATTAGTATAACTACTCCAGTGTTCTTTTGATTAGTGTCAGCCTGGTATATTTATCTCTATCTCTTTACTTTTAATCCATGTGTCTTTGTATGTGGGTTTCTTGTAGACACCATATATTTTGGTCTTGTTTTTTGATCCACTCTGACAGACAATCTATGTGTTTTTTTTTTTTTTTTTTTTATAATTTTATTTATTTATTTATTTTCCCCCCAAAGCCCCAGTAGATAGTTGTATGTCATAGTTACACATCCTTCTAGTTGCTGTATGTGGGTTGCAGCCTCAGCATGGCCGGAGAAGCGGTGCGTCGGTGCGCGCCCGGGATCCGAACCCGCGCCATCAGCAGCGGTTCGCACGCACTTAACCGCTAAGCCACAGGGCCGGCCCAATCTATGTGTTTTAATTGATGTATTTAGACCATTGATATTTAAAGTGATTATTGATATGGTTGGATTAATTAATATCTACAATATTTGTTACTGTTTTCTACTCATTGCCCTTGTTCCTTGTTCCTGTTCTTGTCTTCTGCTCTTTTTCTTCCTTTTGTGGTTTTATTTTTTTTTCCTCTCTCTTTTTTTTTTCTTTTTATTTTTTTGTGAGGAAGATCAGCCCTGAGCTAACATCCACGCCAATCCTCTTTTTGCTGAGGAAGACTGGCTCTGAGCTAACACCTATTGCCAGTCCTCCTCCTTTTTTTTTCCCTTTTTCTCCCCAAAGCCCCAGTAGATGGTTGTATGTCATAGTTGCACATCCTTCTAGTTGCTGTATATGGGACGCAGCCTCAGCATGGCCAGACAAGTGGTGCATCGGTGTGCGCCCGGGATCTGAATCCCGGCTGCCAGTAGCAGAACGCGTGCACTTAACCGCTAAGCCACGGGGCCGGCCCCCTTTTGTGGTTTTAAATGAGCATTTTATATGACTCCATTTTCTCTCCTTTCTTAGCATATAGTTATATTTTTACTTTTTTTAGTGATTGCTTTAGAGTGCGCAGTGTACATTTACAACTAATCCAAGTCCACTTTCAAATACCACTATACTGCTTCACAGATAGTGCAAGTACTTATAATAACAAAATATTCCTAATTCCTCCTTCCTGCCCCTTATATCATTGCTGTCATTTATTTCATTTATACCTAGGCTATAATCATGCATGTAAAAAACATGAGCATACATAATTGAATATATTGTTTCTATTGTTATTTTAAACAAACTGTTATCTGTTAGATCAATTATGAAGAAGAAAAACAAAAGTTTTTGTTTTACCTTCTCTATTCCTTCTCCAGTGCTCTTCCTTTCTCTATGTAGACCCAAGGTTCTGGCTTGTATCATTTTCTTTCTCTCTGAAGAACTTCTTTTAACATTCCTTACAAGGCAGGTCTACTGGCGACAAATTCTCTCAATTTTTGTTTATCTAAGAAAGTCTTTATTTCTCCTTCACTTTTTTTTTGCGTGTGTGTGTGTGTGTGTGTGTGTGTGTGTGAGGAAGATCGGCTCTGAGCTAACATCCACTGCCAATCTTCCTCTTTTTGCTGAGGAAGATTAGCTTTGAGCTAACATCTGTGCCTGTCTTCCTCTGTTTTGTATATGGGATGCTACCACAACATGAGTGATGAGCCGTGCATAGGTCCACGCTCGGGATCTGAACCTGCGATGCCTGGGCCGCCAAAGCGGAGCACAGGCACTTAACCACTACATCCCCGGGCCGGCCCCCTCCTTCACTTTTGAAGGATAATTTTCAGGATATCAAATTTTAGGTTGGTAGTTTTTTCTCTCAACACTTTAAATATTTCACTCCATTCTCTTTTTGCTTGCATGGTTTCTGAAACAATTCTTATATTTGTTCCTCATTAGGTAAAGTGTGTTTTTCTCTGGCTTATTTCAAAATTTTTTTCTGTGTCTTTGATTTTCTCCAGTTTGAAGATGATATTCCTTCGTGTAATTTTCTGTGGGCATTTGTCCTGCCAGTGTTCTCTAAGCTTACTGGATCTGTGGTTTAGTGTCTGCTGTTAATTTGAGGACATTTTCAATCTTTACTTCTTCAAATATTTTTTCTGTTCCTTTCTCTCTTTCTTGTCCTAGTATTCTCATTACATATGTTACACCTTTTGTAGTTGTCCCGTGATTCTTGGGTATTCTGTTCTGCTTTTCTTTTTTTTTCATGCTTTTTTCCTCTTTGCTTTTCAGTTTTGTTGGTTTCTATTGAGATATCCTCAAGCTCAGAGATTCTTTCCTCAGCCACGGCCTGTCTATTAATGAGCCCATCAAAGGCATTCATTCTTCCTTTCTGTTACAGTGTTTTTGACTGCTAGCATTTCTTTTTGATTCTGTCTTAGAATTCCCATCTCTGCTTATATTTCCCATCTATTGTTGCATGTTGCCTACTTTTTACACTACAGCCCTTAGCATATTAATCATAGTTGTTTTAAAGCCTGTTCTGATCATTCTAGCATTTCTGCCATATCTGATTCTAGTTCTAATGCTTGATTTTCTTTTTCAGGATTGTTTTGGCTGTTTGGAGTCTCTTGAAATTCCTGATTAATTTTAGGGTGGGTTTTTCTATTTCTGCAAAAAACATCATTGGGATTTTGATAGGGATTGCACTGATTCTGTAGATCATTTTGGGCAGTACTGACATTTTTAACAGTGTTAAGTCTTCCAGTCTATGAATGTGGAATATGTTTCCATTTATTTATGTCTTCTCTAATATCTTTTAGCAATGTTTTGGAGTTTACCTGTCCATGATAATCTCAAGACTGAATTATCATTGAGTTTAGAGTTCAAGGGACCTAAGAGATCCTTATAGATCTGGTGCAACCTCCTTATTATCCATCGGTGACAATGGAGACCCAAAGGGGCTGAAATGGATCGGATGTAAGGTTTCTGTGGGCAGACCTGGAAAGAGAACCCAGGTCCCCTTCCTGCAGGGATCTGGAACACTTTCAGTGGCAGAAAATAAACCTCTTCAAGTATGATCAGGTGTCATAAAGTCAATATTCATAGTATGTGGATTGAGTATTATTTTGAAGAGTGGTGTTTTTAAGCTGCCTTTGTTGGAAATAAGGTTCCCTTTGAGTGGAGGGTCACCCTCATGTGGAGGGTCATCACTGGGAGGGATGTCATATTCTAAAGCACCTCACATTTCAGTCAGTGTGGAAACATTTTTTCACTTAATGTAAAAGTAGAAATTTGGAACACCACATCTTTTTTTGATCACATGTATCACATTGTGGATACGCTAGGAAAAGAGCGCTTTAGAAGACTGTAGAACAGAGGAACTTTCTGGAACTTTCATTCTTGAACAGATCCTGGTGGGGTTCTGTACATGCTGGTGTGGTGACATTCTGTGACCTTCCTTTCTATCACCATTTGTCCTGGGTGAGTCCTACTTTGACTTCACTTTATTAGAGGCACCAAGAGCCATTGTTCTGCGGTTGCACCAACTCCTCCTCCTCAGAGACCTTGTGGCCATGCTGGCAGTGCAGTCATCTCCCTTCACAGGTTCTGTGTGAGCTGGAGCGTGCCACTGGTTTGAGCGACAGAAATGAGTTTGCTTTTCTTTGCAGACCGTGCCACTCCAGAGCCAAATGTACTGACTCCTCGGCCAAGAAGTGCTTGGTCATGGACGCGGATGATGAGGCGGTCTTGAACCTCATTGCCGAGTGCGAGTGGGACTTGAGCAACCCTCCTGGGAGCACAAGTTCCAGCCAGAAGGAGCGAGAGGCTGACTTGCCTAATTCCCAAGGTATGTTGCCACTCCACCGTGAGGGCTGTGGGAGGTCCAGCTTGTTCTGGATGTCAGTCATCACTGGCTTAAAGATGCACAGTTGCCTTTTTTAGAAAACATACCTTTAAATCTAGAATCTTCATGAAGTCTTTGTGTACTTGTAAATATCAGTAATTTGGATCATAGAATTATAAAAGAAAAAGGCAATGTATTTAAGTTGAGTGTAGTCATACTGTGTGGTTGTTTAAATTGTATTCTTCCTCAGATCAATTACAATTACAGGGAATAGTTTTGTAAAACGTCAAAGCAGACAGGAGGTGGTGTGTCCTGTGGCTCGTGGGACCGACGTTCGTGTCAGCCACAAGGGGCTGTTCAGTTAGCTTTAGGAAGCACTTAGAGCTCAGGCTGCCACGCTGAGAACTTTACACCCAGCAAGGATGTCATGAAGTCTTTCCAGTGCATGAACTTCTTCACATACTTTGCTAGGGAGTCTGTTTTCCACTAGGACTTGTGTATAAGCTTTAGCTTCATTTCTTCTTCCGTTATGAGTTTCTGAGAGCTTTTCATGAAGACAACAACAGGTTGAGGCGTAAGTTTGGGCTCAAATCCCAGGATTCACTGCTGGCATGAGGACATCTGCCCTTTGGATGTCCTTGCCACCTCATGGGATTGTCACTCTTAAATTCTGTCTCTTCTCCTGTGTATGTAGTAGTATTTCATTATGGTTTTGCATCATGCATTTGCATTTTCCTGAAGGCTCTTGATGAAAATCGCTTCATGTGCTTATGGGCCATTTGTCTTTCTTCTTCTGTGGTGTTTCTATTCAAGTCTGTACCCCTCTCCTTTTTTTCTTCTTGGTATTGAGTCATGGGAGTTCTTTATGGTTTTTGAATACCAGCCCTTTCTCAGATAACAGTATTGCAAATTTTCTCCCATTCTATGGCTTGCCTTTTGTTTTCTTCACAGCGCTTCAAAGAGCAGAAGTTTTAATTTCAATGAGGTCCATTTTATCAAATTTTTTCTTTAATGGTTTGTGCTTTTTTGTGCCCTGTAAAGAAAATTTTGTCTGCCCCATGCTTGTGAAGATTTTCTCCTATAGACATGGAGATGTCCTGTGGTTTCAGTGTTGAGGTCAGTGATCCACTCTTTCGAGTGAATTTGTGAGTGTAACGTGTGAGGTAATAGGTCAGGGTGTCTGTCGCCCCCTACGTGTATCCAGTTGTGCTAATGCCATTTGTTGAAAAGACTCTTTTTTCTCATTTAATAGCCTTGGCACATTTGTTAAATCAGTTGACTGACCTGAGTCTGATTCTGGATTCTGTTTTCTTGTCGTGTCTGTCTTTGTCAGTCCCGCACTGTCCTGATTCCTCAGCTGCACAGTGAGTCTTCAAGTCGGGCAGTGTCGGTCCTCCCACCTGTAGCGCTCTTTGCAGTGAGGGCTACAGATTCACTACAGGGTTGGCTGTTGCGTTATTAACCCACTCAGTCATCTTTTTCTTATTTAATCTCAGAAGCTTAAAATGTAATTTTTAATGAACTAAAATGTTTAAAATTTTTTTAATAAAATAGAATCCAGACATCTGTTGAGTCCTCAGTCAGTACAGCACCAGTGTGGGGACTCCATAAAGAAGGGCCATGAGAAGAGGAAAAGCAACCCCAGAGGGTGTTGTCCAGAAAAGAGGCTTCAGAACCAGTGCTGTGGAGAGCTTCCGCTGCAGTGCGGAGATGAGCCTGAGGCCCACCGCTCCTTCGGGCAGCACACACATTTCACCCCACAGCCAGGTAATCTCACAACCTCCCGTAACTCCCTCTTAAGCAGGTCAATGTTTTTCACTGTGTTTGCTGATACTATGCAGTTTCTCCTGTTCTCTTTCTTATATTTATTTGTTTGTGGGACTCTCTAAAATGTCTCAGGAGAGAATTTTGTTCACTGAAATGTATAGTACATCCAATATTTTAGATTCCTAGTCTGTAGGTACTTTGGTGCTTTTCTATACACACACACACACACACACTCACACACTCTCTTTTTCTCCCTCTCTCTCACTCACACACACATTGTCTTCTAAGTACGTAACCTGGGCCCAAGTTATGACAGTAGCTACATTTTAAAAATTAAAGATGAGGAAAATTAAATAATAAGTTAATTGAGAGTGTTGTATGCATGTATGTGGCAAGAGTGTCAGAAAATCTCCCAATATGAGTGAACCTAGCACTTTGCTGAGGCTTGTTCAGGTGAGTTCCTGGGGGCTTTGGAGGCGGGATGGGTTGTGGTGGTGACCTGACCAGGTTGTCTGTGGCCGCTGCAGAGCAGGTTGTGGCGTTGAGGCCGGTATCACCCTGTTACGTCCCCTCTGCTTTTCATCGTCTCCCACACCAGTTGCTTATTTACCCCGTATCCTGAGACCTCACAGTGGTGCTATGGTGTGTGAAGTGCACGGGATCCCCATTTCCATCGATGGTCAGAATTCATCACTTCACCTCTGTTCACAGACACACATGTACTTGAGGTTTAGACCTCTTCATTGATGTGTGGTCCCAATGACTTTTCAGAGTGAACACGGAAAAGCTGCCATAACAGAAAAACCAAGTTTCCTATCTGCTTCATCCAGACTCCCCCGAAGTTCACATTTACCATATTTGCTCTGGTGTGCCCCTTTCCCCACCCTCCCTCCCCGCTCTGTGTGTGTGTCTTTGTGTGTCTCCATATATGTATGCACACGTGTGTATGAATGTACATATATCGCTACATAGGAATGTACACATGTGTAGGTAAGCACATGTGTGTGCATGTATGTACGTGTCCCTACAGGTAGATGTACGTGTGTGCATGTACATACGGATGTTCGTGTGTGTGTACGTATGTCCGTATGCATACATACACACACTCTCTGTCATTGGTCTTTTTCAGAACCTTCTTGGAGCAGGATGTCCTGTCACTCCTTCCAGTGTGGTTTCCTAAAAGCAAGGGCACTCTGCTGAATAATTAACATTTAATTCACTAGAATAAGAAGTGAACTTTGCCACAGACCCTGTTCATATTTCCCCAAATGTTCCAATGACGTCCTTTTCTTTCTGGTCCAGGATCCCGTCCAGGTACCCACGGCGTTATCTAATTGTCATGTCTCATCAGACTCCTGGGACCTGGAACGGTTTCTCAATCTTTCTGTCCTTTGCATTCTTGGGGGTTTTAAAGCATTCACGCTTTACTTTTGTGGGGTGACCCCCAGTATAGCTTATTCTTCTGGTTCCTGGTGGCCAGACTCAGCCGTGTGCTTTGGTGGGTGGGTTCATGCAGAGGCTGTGGGGCCAGAGTGGGGAGAAGGAAGAAGAGTGCAGGTGGCAAGTGAAGGTGAGGTGGCGTGGCAGTGCGTGAGCTGCAACGAGCTGTCTGTCCCAGGGGCATGGAGTGACTGAGGTGTGTTTGGGTTGTTGAGAGCAGTGGGAGGGCCTATCTGAGTGGAGATGGCAGACCAGTCCCAGCAAGGGGTGGAGGTGGCCTGGCCCTGCTGGTGGTGGTCGAGTGGACTTGGTGAAGTTTGGTGATGGATATGGAGCTGAAGGAGGGGTGTGTCCAAGTGATCTCTGATCCAGGCAGCCAGACGACTTTGGTGTCATCCACTCAGGTCACAAGAACTTGAGGCCCGGGTCAGCTGGGGACGTCCTGGGCTGGGCTCTGCTTGAGGTGAGCCTGAGGGCGTGGGGACATGGATTTGGTGTGAGAGCCCAGCAGCTATAGCCCAGAGGAGGAGCCTGGGCTGGAGGGCGATCTTGTGAGGTGGATCTGAGCGTGGGGCAGGGGGCCCTAGGCTGGCGTGCAGAGTCCGGACAGAGGAGGGTCCCAGGGCCCAGCACTGAGGAGCTTCAACAGGAGAACAGGGTGGGCTGGGCCCTGGAGACCCAGAGAGTGCCTGCCTTTGCAGAACCCTCACCTCCTGGCAGTGGGTGGTGCTTGCTGGAAGCCCACCCTGGGGAAGTGGCTCAGCAGCTGAGGGGAGGGAAGGTTTCAGGTACCCATGTTAACACACTCTCATGTAGGAACAAATTGTTACATTTTCTGTAATTTCCAAATTTTAAGTTTTTACTCATTTAACTCATCTTTGTGATACATAATTTTGGCGAGAAAACATAGTAATTGTAATTGGTTGATTCACTGTTAAAGTTATTACTTCAGTGTTGTCACTTTTTGATGGATTTTCCATATTTGAGTGTGCACGTGCATGCACACACCCTTTTAAATTACAGTGCTGGTCGCTGAGCCCCGAGAACTTGGTCTGAGGAGGGCTCTGTTCGCCCCTCTGTTACAGACTCCACAGGCATTGAGGACTCAGCCTCCTCTTCTCAGAAGTCAAGCTTGTCAGCACAAAAGGTGTTAAATCCTTTAACTGCTCCCGAAAAGTACAGGAAGCAAAGAACGGCTGGTGGGAGATTCCAGGCGCCTGCAGACCAGGTGTGTCTAACCTGCCTGGAGAGGGCCAGCGGGCCCTCAAGTCCCGAGGAGAGTCTGAGCAGGCAGGACGGCTCCGAGGGCGGGAGCGAGAGGGCCTTTTCTCACCTGGGGGCATCGGAGCTGGAAGAGCAGAGGCCCCGCAGCGTGAGCGGCGCCCGAGAGGTGAGTGGGGGAGCTGGGTGCCACCAGATGTTAGGGCAAGGGACTGCTGTCTTTTGGAATGCCACTCTTATTTTCAACGTTGACTGTGATCCCATGGTAAGTATGGCTTTTAAATGTATTTTTCCTTGGTGCCTGTCATCTCTCTCTTTTGTTAGGGGTGTGCTTCCGTGCTTTGTGCCCCTTCCTCCGCTGCTGACGCCTTGAGGGGGAGGTGTATGTAGTTGCAGAGGGGAAAGGTGGTTTCGTCATGCTTATTGACAAGGGCCTTTGTCTCCAGAGTGGGAATCCGTCGTCTTGGCTAGCTGGAGCCGCCAGTGGCCCTGTTGTGAGGGGTTCCTGGATGTGCAGTCCACAGTTCTCCAAAGACTTGTCCTGGTTAGGGAGTGCGAGTTTCCCCACCCTCAGAGTGACCCTTAGCCACATGGACGCCGCCGCCATTGCTTTCTCACTGGCCCAGTTGGAGACTTGGAGACGTACTCCAAGTTGTGGGAATAAGTGAAGACTCCCCAGTGCGACGGGCAGAGGCTGTGCCCGCAGAGCTGGCTGTGGTGCTGTGTGCGGCAGAGACCCGCAGGCAGGCTGAGGAGGGAAGAGCGTCACGGCGGACAGAGCGGGGCACAGGTGCCCTGGTGGGCCTGCAGGCCTGGGGAGGCCAGGCCGGGGCGGCTCACTGGAAGGGGGCGTCCCGTGTGGTTGGTTAGGGGAGCATTGTGGCTTTCTGTGGTTGGCCCTGAGTTGGAAGTGGAAAAAAATGAGGGAAGTGGTCAGTTATTGGTCAACTCCTGGCTGTTTGGGGCTGATTGTTATAGGGGTTATGGTTTGGGCTTCTGGCTGGTTATTGTCGATCGTGAGCTGGCTTCCCGGGCTGGTGGCTGCAGGTCGTGGGTCAGAGTTCTGCTTTTATAGGTGGTCCGGCCATTGTATATTCTGTCCCTCTGTATACTCAGTCTCTCACTGTCTGGATTGAGAGAAGGAAGGAAAATGGGGATTTGCTTGAGTTGGGAATGTATTTGAGCCTTTCCTGTCCCCTGGAAGCCAGGCCTCCTTCGTCAAGGCTGGACGTTGTCAGGTGCAGAGCCTTGCCTGGCGAACTTGCACACTCACTGTGGGGTTGGGACTTTGTAGGAGGGGGTGCTGCCTGGAGCGCCCCTTCTTCTCGGCTCGGTGCCGTGACCTCATGGTGATTGTGCGCTCGGAGAAGGCGCTACCTTGTGCTCCTCAGGTGGAAGACAGAAGCCTGAGGGACCGCAGTGGGGAGTGGGGTCCAGCTCTGGGGACCTCGGCTCTGCACTTGTACCTGAGGTTGAGTGTCCAGACACATCTTGTGATGGAGGTGTTTGTGCCAGACGCCCACTGGGATGCTCTCAGCCTCAGTTTTGGGGCAAGCAGCCAGGCCTTAGTGTTACCATGCTGACTGGTCACAGGATGTGGGCTACCCCAGCCCTAGTGTGACCTTGGGAAGAGCAGTGCTCCCTCGCTGGGCTTGCTCCTCAGGGGCACAAGGGTGCATCCACCACCCTGTGCTCCCTGGTGCTCATGGGACTCTCATGGGGTGGGTGGTGGTGGTGGGAGGTGAGGCCGTCCCAGCTGAGGTGGCTTTACGTGCCTTGTCACACACCTCAGGGTCTCACTGCTGTTCCAGAAGTTCTTTAGTGGAAAAGCCTTCTGTGTTAAGGAGCAGTAAGGAGCACTGGGCTGTGAAGGGCGGGGCTCTCACAGGTCTACTGCCTGGAACTGCTTCCTGGGGACCTGGCACCAGGTCTGTGTCCCCACTGTGGTCACTGTCTGGGGACAGTTAGATGCAGCCTTTATTCCCTTCTCCCCAAATCCCCAACTCCTGGTAAGTGTTCCCTAGACATTTAGAAAGTGGGCAGGAGAGTAGGAACCATCTCCCTTTCTTCCGTAATTCTTTAAAATAGGTAAAATAATTTCTAAAGGGAGGAAAAGAGAGAGCCTTCATGTGAGTACCAATGACGGCTGACTGTGTGTCGAGGCCCCTGGGGCACTGGTGTGGTCAGGTACTGGGTGCAGCTTTGACGATTCTGCCTGGCAGCCTCTCCTGCCTGCACCATCCCCGCCTGACCTCCATCTGGTCTAGTGTGTGACTTCATTACATTCTGGGCCTTCTGGGCACCAGTAACTGTTCAGGCTGAGACTAGCTCTGAGGGTCCCCACCCTCTAGGAGTAACTGTGGACTGGTTCAGGAGGGCCCAGAGCAAGCCGTCACTGTAGGAGCTGGAGTTCCCACAGCCTTAGCCCTTAAACTGTGATGTGGGTTTCATGTAACACCTTATGGTTTAGGTTCCTCAAGTCCTCCTTTAGCCGTTCCTCCTGGTGTGGCATGTCATCCCCACCCCACAGATGTGGACACTCAGGGCACTGAGGTCTCATAACCTGCCCAGGGTCACTCGTCCAGGGGGCTGGGAGGTGAATCCCATGGGCCACCCCCGTGCAGATTTGGCCTCTCAGGATACCACAACGCTATCTGACTCTCCAGATGCATATACAACGTGAAACACCATTTCATTTATCAGGTCATTTATTTCACTTACAAGTTAATAATTGTCATAATTTGAGAAGCGTTCACATCCAAACGAGAAATATCAATAGTAGAATTAACTACTACCAGCCTTGAGTGACTGCATGGATGTCCCCCACTATAATCATACATTTCAAGAACCTCCTTACATAATCAAAATAAAAAAGGAAAGGGGCCAGCCCGGTGGCGCAAGCGGTTAAGTGCGCACGTTCCGCTGCGGCGGCCCGGGGTTCGCCGGTTCGGATCCCGGGTGCGCACCGACGCACCGCTTGTTAAGCCATGCTGTGGTGGCGTCCCATATAAAGTAGAGGAAGATGGGCATGGATGTTAGCCCAGGGCCAGTCTTCCTCAGCAAAAAAGAGGAGGATTGGCATTGGATGTTAGCTCAGGGCTGGTCCTCCTCACAAAAAAAAAAAAAAAAACAAAAAAAAAACGAAGGAATCGAACCTCTTCTAACTGATTTCAAACCAAAACCATAATCATTATGTCTTTCTCAATAAATGAGATATTAGTAGAAGTTACATAACTTTGTCAAAGTTAAATTATAGGTTAAATCCCTTCAGGTCTCTGGCATATCCATTTCAGCTAGGCTTTCAAGATGCAACATCCCGTTATAGAACTTCTTCACTTTCACGACTGCACGCTAATAATTGTTTTCCTAATTAGCTCTTTAGTATTATACATTATTTCATTAATGTTAACAACTAAATTAAGCCATACAAGTACTATAGATGCACAGTAGAAACAATTTGAATCGTTTTACCAGCTATTAGTGTAATTCTAATTGCTCTACCATCATTATGAATTTTCTGTATAGTAGACAAAATTAATCATCTTTCCCTACCTGTTAAAACTATAGGCCACCAATGATACTGAAGCTATGAAGTTACAGGTTATGAAGATTTAAATTTTGACTCCTATGTAGTTCCCACATCAGATTTAAAACCAGGAGAACTACAATTTCTAGAAGTTGCTAACCGAGTGGTTTTACCTAGAGAAAGAACAATCCGAATGTTAATTTCATCTGAGGATGTCCTACATTCATGAGCCGTTACAGGTCTAGGCCTGAAAGCAGATGCTATCCTGAGACCCCCTAAACCAAGCAACCCTCATATCTACACGACCAGGCTTATACTACGGACAGCGTTCAGAAATTTGCAGATCAAATCAGAGCTTTATACCTATTTTTCTTGAGTTAGTCCTGCTAAAATGTTTTGAAAAATGATCTGTATCCATACTATAGAATCATTAAGAAGCTGTACAGTATTAACCTTTTAAGTTAAAGACTGAAATCTCTTCTTAAATGATATGCCACAGCTAGACACATCAATATAATTTATTACTATTATATCAGTAATTATAACTTCATTTATTGTATTTCAACTAAAAATTGCAAAACTTTATTCCTCAAACCCAGAACTAAAAACAAATCATTAACATATTACCCCTTGAGAATCAAAATGAACAAAAATTTATTTGCCTCTTTCACTACCCCAACAATAGAGTTACCTCTTATTCTGATCATTATATTTCCAAGCATTATATTCCTTACATCCAACTGACTAATTAATAACTGTCTAATTTCTATTCAACAATGATTAATTCAGCTTACATCAAAATGAATGGTATTTATTCACAGTCATATAGCACTACCTTGAATCCTAATACTTACATCACTCGTCCTGTTTATGGGCTCAGCATCCTGCTGGGCCTTGTACCACACTCATTCGTACCCACTACACAACTATCAATCATTTTAGGAATCGCTATTCCCCCAGGAGCAGAAACAGTGATCACAGGGTTCCGACATAAAACAAAAGCATCCTTAGCTCATTTTTTACCTCAAGGAACACCTGTTTTTCTTGTTCCTGTACTATTAATTATTGAAACTACTAGTTTATACGATGAACAGCTAACATTACTGCTGGATGCCTCCTAATTCACCTAAATGGAGGAGCAACCCTAGCCCTGATAAATATTAGTCCCACTATAGCTTTCATTACTTTTATTATTCTTGCTTACTGTTCTTGAATTTGCAGGGGCCCCAATGCAAGCCCATGCATTGACTCTTTTGGTGAGCCTCTGTTTATGTGTGATAATACCTCATGACCCACCAGACCCGTGCACATCACATTATAAATCCCAGTCCTTGACCACTTACAGGAGCTCTTTAGTTCTCCTCATAACATCTGGATTAGTAATACGATTCCATTTTAACTCAACATTCTTAGTGTTCTCAGGCTTATTAACTAACGTGTTAGCCATATATCAATGATGACGGGATTTCAGTGGAGCAGTACCTTTCAAGGCCACCACACACCAGTCGTCCAGAAAGGACTCCGATACAGTGTAATTCTTTCTATTATTTCAGAAGTTTTTCCTTTCCAGCTAGTTGGCTTAAAAGCAGCCACCAATTAAGAAAGTGTTCAAGCTTTTGAGTCGTTTACGTTCAAGCTTAGTTCCAACACCCAAATGGGGCGGCTGCTGACCACCCATAGGCTCTCACCCGCTGCATCCCTTAGAAGCACCTCTTCTCAAGACCTCGGTACTCTTAGCATCCGGAGTCTCCGTCACCTGAGCACATCACAGCTTAATAGAAGGAAATTGCAAGCGTCTACTTCAAGCCCTATTTATTACAGTCTCACGAGGGGTTTACTTTACTCTCTTAGAAGCCTCAGAGTACTCTGCAATGTCACTTACAATTTCAGATGTCACTTATGAATGTTCTTCATAGCTACAGGCCTCCACAGACTACACGTAATTATCAACTCTGCTTTCCTTATCGTCTGCTTTCTGCATCAACTAAAATTTCATTTCACATCTAGCCGTCATTTTGGATTGGAAGATGCTGCCTGATACTGACATTTTGTGGATGTAGTATGATTGTTCCTATATGTCTCTGTTTATTGTTGAGGATCTTGTTCTTTAGTCTTAAATAGTACAATTGACTTCCAGTCAGTTTTGGTATAACGCAAAAAAGAATAATAAACCTTATACTGACATTATTTATCAATACACTATTAGCCTTATTACTTGCATTTATCGCATTCTGATTACCCCAACTAAATATCCACACAGAAAAATCTAGCCCTTGCTAATGTGGATTTGATCCTATAGGATCAGCACAACTGCCCTTCTTCATAAAATTTTCCTTGTAGCCATCATATTTCTATTATTTGATCTAGAAATTGCTCTCCTCCGACCCCTACCATGAGCATCCCAAACAAATAATCTAAAAACTATACTTACTGTAGCGCTAGTTCTAATTTCATTACTAGCCATTAGCTTAGCTTACAAATGAACTCAAAAAGGACTAGAATGAGCTGAATATGGTAATTTAAATTAAAACATGATTTTGACTCATTGAATTATGATTTATTAAATAATTATCAAATGTCCCTAGTCCATATTAACATCTTCTTAGCATTTATAGTATCTCTTATAGGATTACTAATATATTGATCCCATTTAATATCCTCATTACTATGCTTAGAAGGTATATTATCAGTATTTATTATAGCAACCATAATAATCCTAAATACCCATTTTACATTAGCCAACGTGATACCTATTATTTTATTGTTATTTGCAGCCTGCGAAGCTGCACGAGGACTATCATTACTAGTTATAGTATCCAGTACTTACGATACTGATTATGTACAAAACTTTAACCTTCTCTAGTTCTAAAAATTATTATTCCAACTATTATATTAATACCATTAACGTGACTATCAAAAAATAACATAATCTGGGCCGGCCCCGTGGCTTAGCGGTTAAGTGCGTGCGCTCCGCTACTGGCGGCCCGGGTTCGGATCCCGGGCGTGCACCGACGTACCGCTTCTCCGGCCATGCTGAGGCCGCGTCCCACATGCAGCAACTAGAAGGATGTGCAACTATGACATACAACTATCTACTGGGGCTTTGGGGGAAGAAAAAAAGGAGGAGGATTGGCAATAGATGTTAGCTCAGGGCTGATCTTCCTCACACACACACACAAAAAATAACATAATCTGAATTACTACCACAACTTATAGTCTATTAGCCTTGTTAGCCTATCTCTTCTAAATCAACTTAATGAGAACAGCCTTAGTTCTTCACTGATATTCTTCTCCAGTTCCCTATCAGCACTCCTACTGGCATGAACAACATGACTTCTTCCACTAATACTTATGGCTAGTCACTGTCACCTATCCAAAGAACCTTTAATCTGGAAATAATTATATAGTACAGTACTAATTATATTATAAACATTTGTATTTATAACTTTCACTGCCTCAGAACTAATTCTCTTCTGCATTCTATTTGAAGCAACGTTAGTCCCAACGCTAATTATTATTACTCGATGGGGTAACCAAACAGAACGACTAAATGCATGACTCTATTTCCTATTCTATACATTAGTAGGATCACTTCCACTTCTTGTTGCACTGACCTTCATCCAAAACCTTGTAGGTTCATTAAGTTTCCTAATAATCCAATACTGAATCTAAATAACACCCAACTCCTGATCCAACTTTTCCCTATGATTGGCATGCATGATAGCACTCATAGTAAAAACACCTCTCTGTGGCCTTTGCCTCTGATTACCAAAAGCACATGTTGAAGCCCCTATTGCCGGCTCCATAGCACTTGCAGCTGTTCTACTAAAACTAGGTGGTACGGAATACTACAAATTACAACAATATAAATCCCTAAACAAATGCTGTGGCATATCCATTCCTCATGTCGTCTTTATGAGGAATGATTATAACCAGATCCATTTGTTTACATCAAACAGACTTAAAATCAGTCCTTCTGTGCTCCTCTGTCAGCCACACAGCCCTAGTAACTGTAGCGATTCTTATTTGAACACCATGAAGGTGTAGAGGAGCCAAAACCCCAATAATTGCACACGGCCTCACCTCTTCAATGTTATTCTGTCTAGCAAATTTAAAGCACGAATGAATTCATGGCCGAACTATGCTTCTACCTTTCAGATTATGAACACTCCTCCCACTGATAGCAGCTTGATGACTGTTAGTGAGTCTCACCCATCTAGCCTTACCCCCACAATGATTAACCTAATCAGAGAACTGTTCGTAGTAATGTCATCATTCTCATGATCTGACACTACCATTATCCTAATAGGAATTGACATTATTATTACTACTGCCCTGTATTCCCTCTGTGTATTAATCGTAACACGATGAGGCAAATATGCTTATCATATTAATGTGAAACCATCATTTACATGAGAAAATGCACTCATAACCCTATACCTATTACCCCTTTAACTTGTGAAGTGTGAAGGGCCCCCTCGTGCCAAGTCTCCATGGGACGAGGGCGTCAGCATGATGTGTGGTGGGTACACGAGTGTGCCGGGGTCAGAAGCCTTGTGTTTACATAGTAACCCACTGGTTTCAGGCATGAAAACCAATGTCATGATTTTGTGTCTATCATAGGTGTCTCCCAAATCCCACACCGCTGCGCTGCCTGGGAAGAAGGCCGCCCTGGAGGTGGTGCTCCTGGAAGCGCTCCTCGACCTGGTGGACAGGTACTGGAGTGGCTGCAAGTCCCTGCATGGCAACGAGGTGTTCATAGGTGAGTCAGGAAGGGCCAGTCACCGGTCGGCACAGATCCATGCGTGGCCCCGCCCTCCAGGGTGCATTCTGCCTGCAGGTGCTTGTCCTCCTGTTGGGTGCTGGGCCCTGTATGCTGTTGGACCCCCCTCATCACCTGTCACTGTCCTTGCTGTGCTGCAGGGAGCATCCTGATAGTCTTTGCAGCCCGGGGGCCCTTGTGAGGTGTGAGACACAGGCACCATGTGGGCCTGTGGCTGTTGGTTTCCCTCTTGCTAGTGCTGGGGGTTCGTGGAGCGAACCTTGTCACCTGGTTTTGTTGGAAGTGCTTTCTTGAGTGTGTGCTTCAGTTTGCCCTGTTTTTATATGGGGATTTGGAGAGATTAAAAAGCTGCTGCTGTCTCCTCTGAATCTTCTGAATGTTTGATCATGTGCAGGGCCTTGGATTTGCTGAGCTTTTGGTAGAAATGATGTGAGGCCCAGGAGGATGGCCCCTCCCCAGAGAGGACTTGGGTTTTCTTCTGCCTGCTGCCTGGGTGCAGGAGCGCACTGGGGACCCTTTCATCCAGAGTTGGGTGTGAGGCAAGGAGATGCTGCGTTCCCAGGGGGCTGCCTTCTCTTTTTCCCGCAGGCTGGGGTGCAGCCTTTAGAGTCCCAGGGGAGCGGGACTTGCCAGCTCTCTCCTTTCTGGCAGACCCTGGCCCCTGCCTGGAGCTGCCATCTTAGCCCTGCCCAGAGGCTCCTGAGCACTCTGCTCAGTGTTGTGGCCCTTCAGCTTCTCCTCTGGAGTCAGGATGCCCCAAGAAGCTGGAGCCCTGGGATCCTGACCCCGTGGACCTACACCCTCTTGTTAGGGCTAGTAGTGGGACTGGTCTGTGAGACCAGCTGCTGTCCCCAGTTGTGGAGCTGCCAGACTGCACTGCAGGCCCCCGGCCAGGAGCAGGAGCAGGCAGTGCTGTTGACGAGCACATGATGGTCTGCTAGGACATGCAGCCACACCATCCTAGTCGTGGCCTTCTCTTAAGGGGCACCTTTGCTCTAGAATAAAACTATTTTTCTGCTCCTCTCCACCTCCCATCCATGACTGATGTAAAGAAACCTGAGTGAGGTCACTTCAGTGGTCAGTGTTTTTGAGGCATGTAGTCTGTATTATTCAAAATGGATTGAACATATTTTGTTTATACTTTATCCTTTCAACATAAATAGTATAATAGTATTTGATTTTTACTCCTAGCTCAGGCAAGACATATTTTGTCATCTGCTCAAGAATTTACAGCAACTCAGGACAATTCAACAATTGTGAATGAAGAAATCAGTTACCTGACTCTTGAAAATAAATCTTTACAAAAGCACCTTGCTGAGCAACAGCAGCAATATAGCATGAAGATGAGTGAGGCGGTGTCAGAACTCAGCAGCACGCGGAAGGAGATGGTGAGCCGGCCCCTTGTGTTATTTCTGTTTGTTCACAGATAGGGTGAAAATGTCATTTCAACTTCACAGAACCAGGGGAGCCTCTCGACTCCACACTTCCCCTTAGCTGCTGTTTGGCCACAGCAGTGGGACTCCTTCCTGCCTTTCCAGGACCACAATCCCCCTCCTCCACCAGGCTTTCCCCATCCCCGGGGACTCCACCTGCCCCCCAGGGGCACTGCCTGACTGTGTCGCTCCCCCATGGCAACAGTGATTTGCAGATGGCAGTGTTGCCGCTTGTCCTAGCTCTGCCTCTCCTGGATGGCTGCCTTCTCTTCTGAGAGAGGCTGAGTGGGAGAGACAGAGAGAGGATGAAGCCGGGCTTGAGGTGGAATTTTTGTGGCCCCAGTGTTCCCTGGGCAAGGCTTCCCAGACTACTGGCGAGAGAGGTTGTGGTTAGCTGAGTGATCCTAGGATCACTGATGCACCAGCCAGCCACAGGCCCTGAGATGTCCTATTGGACTTGAGGGAACTTCTGCCACCAGGTGGCACCCAAGGGCAACCAGAGCCAGCACAGCTTGGATCTGGCAGTGGAGCCCAAGACTCCTGGCTGGACAGGGCTGCCCTCATTCTTTGTAACCTCGCCATAAGACTATCACACATAAACGCCTACGTTAAAAAAAGATGAAAGATCTCAAATAAACAACCAAACTTTACACCTCAAGGAACTAGAAAAAGAACAAACTAAACCCAAAGTTAGCAGAAGGAAGGAAATAATAAAGATCAATCAATAAATCAAATGGAGACTAAAAAAACAGTGGAAAAAATCAACAAAACTGAGTTGAGTTTTTGAAAAAATATACAAAATCAGCAAACCCTTAGCTAGACTACCTAAGAAAAAAAGAGAAGACTCGAAATCAGAAATGATAGAGAGGACATTGCAATGGATGCCTCAGAAATAAAAAGAATCATAAGGGACTATTATGAGTGATTATATGCAAATACATTGGGTAACCGAGAAGAAATGGATAAATTCCTAGAAACATACAACCTACCAAGACTGTACCAAGAAGAAATAACGCCTGAACAGACCAGTAACAAATAAGGAGACTGAGCAGTAATCAAAACATCTCAACAAAGAAAGCCTAGGACCAGATGGCTTCACAGCTGAATTCTACCAGACAATCAAAGAAGAATTAATATCACTTCTTCTTAAACTCTTCCAAAAATAGAGGGAACCCAAGAGTAGAGGGAATACTCTCAAACTTAGTTTATGAAGCCAGCATCACTCTGATACCAAAGCCTGACAAAGATACCACAAGAGAAGAAAACCACAGGCCAGTATCCCTCATAAACATAGAAAAATCCTCAATAAAATGCTAGCAAACCAAATTCAACAACATATCAAAAAGATTATCCCATGACCAAGTGGGATTTTTCCCTGGAATGCAAAGTTGGTTTAACATATGCAAATTAATATACCACATTAACAGATTGAAAGATAAAAACCACACGATCATCTCAATAGATTCAGAAAAAGCATTTGAAAAGCTCAACGTCCATTCTTGCTAAAAAACTCTAAACAAAATAGATATAAAAGAAAATTTCCTCAATGCAATAAAGGCCGTTTATGAAAAGCCCACAGCTAATGTGATCAATGGGGAAAACGAAAGCTTTTCCTCTGAGATCCAGTACAAAATGAGGATGTCCACTCTCTCAACTTCTGTTCAACATAGTTGGAAGTCTGGAAGTTCTAGCCAGAGGAAGCAGACAAGAAATCGAAATCAGACAGGAAGAAGAACAGTATCTCTGTTTGCAGATGACATCATCATGTCTGTAGAAAACCCTCAAGACTCCACAAAAAAACTGGTAGAACTAATAAATTCAGTTCTAGTTCTAATTCAGAAGTTGCAGGGTACAAAATCAACATAATAAAAATCAGTTGTGTTTCTTTACACCAGTGATTTATCCAGAAAGGGAACCATGGAAACAATCCCATTTATGATAGCATCAAAAAGAATAAAATAGTTAGGAATAAATCTAACCAAGGATGTTAAAGATCTTAACACTGAAAACTGTAAAACATTGATGAAAGAAACTGAAGAAGACACAAATGAATGGGAGGACATCCCATGTTCATGGATTGGAAGATTAATGTTGTTAAAATGTCCATACAGCCCAAAGTCGTCTACAGAGTCAATGCAATCCCTATACATGTTCCAATGGCATTCTTCACAGAAATAGAAAAAACAATTCTAAAATTTGTGTGATCATTTTTCTTATAACTTGTATTCTTCTTTTTCTAGTTCCACAAGACCCTGAATAGCCAAAGCAATCTTGAGAAAGAAAAGCAAAGTTTTAAGCATCACATGTCCTGATTTCAAACTATATTACAAAGCTATAATAATCAAAACAGTGTGGTACTGCATAAAAACAGACTGTAGATCAGTGGGGCGGAATAGAGAGCCCAGAAATAAACCCAAGCATCTATGGTCAGCTAATTTCCAACAAGGCCGCCAAGAATCCACAATGAGGAGAGGACCTGGTCTCTTCAGTAAATGGTGTTGGGGAGAACTGGACCCTTATCATACACCATACACAAAATCAACCTAACACGGAGTAAAGATTTAAACAGCTAAAGTCTTGAAACTTAAAATTCCTTGAAGAAAACATAGAGAAAAAGCTCCTTGACCTGACCTTGGCAATGATTTTTTGGATTTGACACCAAAAGCAAAGGCAACAGAAGTGAAAATAGACGAGTAGGGTGACATCAAACTAAAAAGCTTCTGCACAGCAAAGGAAGCTATCAACAAAATGAAAAGGCAACCTATGGAATGAGAGAAAATATTTGGAAATCATGCATCTGATAAGGGGTTAATATCTAGAATATATAAAGAGCTCATACAACTCAATAGCAAAAAAACCAACCCAATTAAAAAATGGGCAGAGAGTCTGAATAGACATTTTTCCAAAGAAGACATACAGATGGCCAGCAGGTACATGAAAAGATGCTCAACATCACTAGTCATCAGGGAAATGTAAATCAAAGTCACACAAAAATATCACCTCACACCTGTTAGGATGGCTATTATTAAAAAGACAAGAAATAAGAAGTGTTGGCGAAGATGTGGAGAAAAGGGAACCCTTGTGCATTGTTGGTAGAGATGTAAACTGGTGCAGCCGCTACAGAAAACAGTGTGGAAGTTCCTCAAAAAATTAAAAATAGAACTATCATGATCCAGCAGTTCCCCTTCTGGGTACACCTCCATAGGAAGTGAAATCAGTACCGTGGAGGGATATCTGCAGTCCATGCTCACTGCAGCATTGAGGCAGCCAAGACGTGGAAACAGCCTCAGTGTCCAGTGACAGGTGAATGGATAAAGAACATGTGGTATGTATACAATGGAATATTATTCAGCCATAAAAGAAGGAAATCGTGTCATTTGCAACAACGTGGATGAACCTCAAGGGCATTATGCTAAGTGAAATAAGTCAGAAAGAAAAAAACCACATGATCTCAGTTAAATGTGGAATCTAAAAAAGTCGAGTACATAGAAACAAAGTAGATCAGTGGTTACAGGGTTGGGGGCGGTGGGGAAATGGGAGATGTTGGTTGATGGGGACAAAGCTGCAGTCGTATAGGATGAATAAGTCTAGAGATCCAATGTGCAGCGTGATGACTTCAGTTAATAATACTGTATTGAATCAGGAAATTTGCTAGGAGAATAGATTTTAGGTACTCTCAAAAAAATGGTAAGTATGTGAGAAGATATGTTAATTGTCTGTAGTAATTTCATTGTGTATGTGTATGTCAAATCATCAAATGTACACCTTAAATATATACAATTTTTACTTAAAAAAAAAGACCATTGTGCATTTGGCACATTGAAATTTTAAGCTCATTAATCATTATGTTTGGATTTTATTGTATGGAATCTCTTTAGGGTGCTCTCCTTTTAAAAAGTCAGTATGTCATGTGGTTGAGAGGGTGGCTGTGGCTGTGGGTTGTTTGAGCAAGTTACTTAACCCCTCTGTGTTAGTGATTTATTGCTACATAACAAATTGCCCTAAAACGTAGCACCTTTAAACAACAAACCTTTATTATCTTTGGCTTCTGCAGGTCAGAATCCCAGCATAGCTGAGCTGGGTGCGTCTGACTCGGGGTCTTGTGAGGTTGTCATCAAGCTATTGATCAGGGCTGCAGTCTCCTCTGAAGGGTAGGGATCCTCTTCCAGGCTCACCTACAGGCCTCAGCTCCATGCCACATGGGCCTCTGCACAGGCCACTGGGAGTCCTTACAACATGGCTGCTGCTGATGAGAGAGCCAGAGAAGCACCCAGATGGAAGGCTGTCTTTTGTAACCCACTCTTGAGAGTGACGTGTTGTCACTTCTGCGAATTATGTTGGTTAGGAGCCAGTCACTGGGTCCAGCCCATGAGAGGGGAGGGTACCACACGAGTCAGGGAACACCCTTGAGCCATCTCAGCAGCCGCCTGCCACACCCTCTCTGCATCAGTCATCTCATTTGTAAAATGGGAGTGAAAGTAGCCAGAGGATTGCTGGGAAACAAGTATCTGAAATGTCTGATACTTACTGTCTTTATTGTATAAGAACCTGCTGTTTCAGAGATCCCATACAAAGCTTCATTTTTAGAGAAAAAATGAAAAATAGTGAAATGGTATTAGCAACCTCTGGTATTTAAACACTGTGGATATCTGCACATACAAATAGCTTCTACATCCAGAAAGGGCATGGAGCCCCCACCAAGCCTGGACTGTAGTCACCATGCAGAATGTTGTTTCTGTGAGACAGTGTCAACCCTGTGGGACATGGCACAGCCTGTTAACATGGAAGCAGGACCGCGGCTTTTGGGGTTTGGTGCAGATGAGTAGGTAGCACCCCTTCCCCTTACACTGCTGCGTTTGGGACCAGTTGAGTCGAGACAGACGGGCCCCAGATGTCAACTCTGTACCGATGCAGTCTAGCATAGATGTGCATAGAAGTGTGGCTGTGGTGGGTGCCCGCTCCTTCGCCTCTGTGGACAGTCTGACTGACCCTGTCCCACAGGGTGGCCTTGGGCCACAGGACGGGCAGCTGAGAGGCCCTGTCTGGGTGAGCAATCTGCAACCATCTGGCAGCCCCAGAGCCCTGCTTGGTGCCTTCTCAGATCTACCCCTAGATGACCCGGGCCCAGGGGAGGGAGGGGTGGTCAGTGGAGCATGGTCAGGAGGCCTGCAGTGGATCAGCCCACCGGAGAGAGCTAGGAGCTTGGATGCGTGGATGGCAGGTGCTGCTTTTCGTGGAAAGTCACTTAGTCCTGAAGGGTCCATCGCCAAGCCTGGTTTATTCCCCGTTGCAAAGACATGTGATTCCACAGTTGTGTGTGTGTACATTGTGTTGTATGGCCTATGTGGTTGTGTGAGTGAGACTGATTGCTTGGCCGTGTGTGTGTAGACTGTGTTGTGTGGCACGGGCAATGGTGTGAGTGAGACACTGATGCCCAGGAAACTGAAGGTGGTGGCCCTGTCCCCAAGGCTTTCTGGTGTGGCTCTGAGCAGAAGTGTTGTGCTGTGTCTGAGTGTGGTCAGTCTACTTTACCTCCACCTGCCTCGGCTGAGACGTTCATCAAGACTTGGGGCCCTGCCCCTGCCCTTTTGCAACTCACCATGTCCTTGGGAGAAAAACCATCAGACATCACTGGCCACGCAGAGGTTTCGTACAGCCCAGTGCACATGTGCACCCAGAGGGGTCGGCGAGCTGGGGTGATGCTGGAGTGGAGAATGAGCATAACAGTGTTCTGAAAACTAGGGCTCCTGTTGGCTTGAGACAGAGACACTCTTTCTCCTGGTGGAAGTCCTTGGCCCCACTGCTGGGTATGTACCTGTCAGGTTCCTTGGCTGATGGGTGAGACCCTGTGGATCTATGGGGTCCCTGCTCCTGGCAGCAGGCCACTTTGATGGCCCATGTGCCACCAGAGTCCTAGGCATGGGGTGGCCTGTGGGAGGCGCTCGAAGAGCCTCAGGCAGAGGCTGCGTGTGTTGTGGGCTCTGATCGTGGCCTCGGTCTCCCTTCCCTCCACTTTACTGTCCCATCAGCGTGCTGGGTGTTTCCTCTGTTCTTCGAGGATAGGTAAGGAGCCTATGCCACTGCTTCTGCCTGGGATGCCAGGTGGCCGGTGTGATTCCCGTGCGCTTACAGATGGAGGAGCAAGAACAGGGAGGGTTCCTGCAGCGACCAGGAAGGCCTGGGATCTGCCTGTGCTCTTGCCTGGGAAGCGAGTCTGGAGGGGCTGCTTGGTGCTAGCATGCTGCCTGGCCCTTGTTCCTGCTCCTCAGGAAGGGAGAAGGCACCAGGCTATGGCAACCACGGGGCCTTCCTGGCGGAGGCAGGGCTTGAATAGCCACCACATCTCCCCTCAGCATCAGGGCTCCTGCTGAAGCATGCCCCTCAGCAGGGGACGTGGAAGGTAGGTGCTCCCTTGTCAGCTGGGCCACAGCTTTCCCTGTCCCCTCTGAGGGTCACTGTGCTGCTCAGCATGGGGTGGCCTGCTGGCAGGGTGATGCGCTGTGAAATGTGATTACTGCTTTTCACATTATGATTCAGCAATTATGATATGTAAAAGGAGACTAATATCTGGTGATTTCAGAAGGTTTCATTTAATTTTCTACATACATTTTACTGAATTTGACTTTCCTATTTTAATTATATTCTGTGTCCTTAGGATGACCTGCGGCAACATTTAGACAAATCTTTGGAGGAGAACAGTAGCTTAAAGTCTCTCTTGTTCAGCATGAAGAAAGAAGTAAAAAATGCAGATGCTTCAGCTACGTTAAATTTGCAGGTCACTGGTGAGTTTATAGTTTATTTGGTACTATTACTTGCTGAACATTCATATATAGACTTTTGTTTTAAATTATTCACAGAATTCAGAACCAGCAAGTACTATAAACTGAGGGTCGGAGCCCCCACTTCCTGGTTGTTGTGAGAGTCATCTTGGCTCATGGTTGATACTCCTGTTTGCCTGGAGCAAGCCCGGCGGGTGGTGTGTGTGGAAGGAGAGCTGAGACGGAGGGAAGAGGCAGCCTCCTACATGAGCTCCAGACAGGTCCACCCTCCCTGCTTGGATTTCTTTGACTCCATAGAAACCTCAGGTATTGTCTGTGGTCCTGGCGCCTGGACTGTGGGGAACTAGCCTGTCTGCCTCTGAGGGTGCAGACTCTGATCACACCTCTGCTCAGCCTGTCTCTGCCAAGGAGGCCTGGTATCCTCTTTGGTCACTGCTCCTTCCAGACCCAGGTAACGTTCATTCCCTCTCTTCACTGTCTTTGATTTTGTTTTGCCATTGTTGCAGAAGTACCCTTGGTATTTCAAGTTCAGATACTGGGATTTTGCATGAGGAGGTGTTGGGGTGTCTGTGTTCCATGCTACCACCTTCTCTGGGGGTGACATGGGGGCTCTTGAAGGTTTGAATTTCGCGGAGGACGAACAGGTTGAGCATCTTTTCCTACGCTTCTCAGGGGTCCAAAAACTTTTTCTTAAAGGGCCAGATAGTAAATATTTCAAGGCCTTATGGCCTCTGTCCCAAGTACTCGTTGTGGCCTTTTTCATGTGAACGCAGCCATGGACAAGTCGTCCTGGTTTGTCTTTGTGAAGCATCTCCTCAGATCTTTGCCCATTGTGCTTATTGGTCTATTTTATTGAGTGGTAAGAGTTCTTTATAGTCTTCTTTTTTCTTTTTTGGTGAGGAAGATTGACCCTGAGCTAACGTCTGTTGCCAACCTTCCTCTTTTTGCTTGAGGAAGACTGGCCCTGAGCTAACATCAGTGCCAGTCTTCCTATATTTTGTATGTGGGATGCCTCCACAGCATGGCTTGATGAGCGATGCATAGGTCTGTGCCTGGGATCCGAACCCGTGAACCCCAGGCGGTTGAAGCAGAGGGTGCGAACTTAACCACTATGCCACCGAGTGGGCCCTATAGTCTTCTTTTTTTGTTTTCATTTAAAAACTTTCCCCTTTTCACCCTCTGTTTCTTTGAGACGTCATTGTCACGTTTACTTGCTCTTGGGTTCCTTCTAGCTTAGCCTTCATTTCTCATCAAGTTTTTCTTGCGAATCTTGCCTGAGTTCAGCCCCCTCCTCTCTGACGTTCTGGATTCTGACTTACATGGTTCTTTCATTTCTTGTATCATTTCCTTTTTGTCTTTAGCTCCTTTTGAAATACTCGGTGATGGTTGTGGTCTGTTCTGGGACGGGGTTTTTGTTGTCCGAAGGGATGCTGTTGTGCTCTTACAGTAACTCTGTGTGGCATGTGACCTCACTACTTTTCTGTTGTTCGTTTTCACATGAAATTCGTTCTGAATTTTTAGCAGCAGGTCAGGCGGCTTTTCTAACTTAACTGATAAATGTGGTGGCTTCCTCTGGGGGTTTCAGGCCCTGTTCCCTCCCCCGCTTCTCTCTGCTGTCTTGTCCTGCTTGACCTGAACCCCTCACCAGCCATTTCTCTGCAGTTTTGAAGGGTTTGGGTAGGTGAGCCTCGAAGGGTCATGGGGTTGCTCTAGCCCCTTCAGACTGCAGAGTCCCCAGTCTCACCTCATTAGAGGAGGCTAATCCTCCCTTGTTTCAGCCGTGGTTATGTAGTTGGCCCTCTGGGGTTTCCTGTGAAAATGGGGACACTTGGGGGCTCTCCCATCCTCAGGTCTGTCAGCTGCCCCACTGCTGACTGCTGCTTCACCCTCACAGGTGTGGACACCATGTAGGGCTTGCGGCTGTCTTAGGTTTGGGGCCTTGAGGCTACCTTATCACCAGGTGCTGTAATGTTGTCTGTGGGGTTCTGGTTTTGTCATCTAGTTACTCTTGGTGTTTGACTAAGGTGGGGATTCTGGGAGATCCTGAAACCACGCCGCCACTGCCCTCTCCCCAGAATTCCTTTCACTCACGCCCTCCAGGGAATTTTAGGTGGACGTAGATTCTGAGCAGTGTTTTCCCATCTTAGCGCTTTGAGGGCGCTCCTCCATTGCTGTTGTGAGAAGGGCCTGCTGTCAGTGTCATTGTCACCCCTTTGCCCATTACCTTCCCACCCTGGCTTCTCATTGTCTCTGGTGTTGTGTGGTTTTGCAGTGGTGTGTCTACATGTGGATTTATCTGGATCCCAGTTTTGGATTTGGGAGCCAGTCAATAATATATTTCTTCCCCTCTCGAGTTGGAAACCCAGAGAGAGACAGGAGTCATGTAGATGGAATCCAAACACATGCTCTGTCACTGATGGACATAGGACCAGAGGGCACATCAGAGACATGTGGCCACCACAGGCTTCTTATGGCTTCTCCCCAGAGCTGCAGCCCCTCCCCTCAGGGGCAGAGCTCACTGCTTGTTGGAAGAGAAGCCCTGAAGGCCCTTCCCTGCCAGGAGGCAGGTCCAGTAGAGGGAGCCTCCAGCTGGTGCCAGGCCTCCTCTGTCAACATTCTCTGCCCTCCATGCAGGGGTGTGGTTCCTCAGGGGTGTCTGGAGGGCAGATTCCTGAGGCTTCAACCCCAGGGAAGGGAGCCAGACGTGGGCCCTGGAGCAGAAGCGAGTTGGGTGTATAGAGTGGGACCTTCTTTGTTCACCTGTCTTTGAGTTGCTTGCAGAAACTGACCTTTCCCAAGCTATATTCTTTTTCTTATGTCTCAGATCCAGTTTAAACTTGAGAGTTATTTTAGTTTTCAAAATGTATTATTGAATTTCACTAATGCTACTTCTTTTCTCTTTCAGGACTTCAAACAAGTGTGAAGAGGCTCTCTGGTGAGATTGTGGAACTAAAGCAGCATCTAGAGCACTATGACAAGATCCAGGAGCTCACCCAGATGCTGCAGGAGAGCCACAGGTACGGCTCTCCCAGGAGGCATGGTGGTGGGAGGGGCTGTGGGGAGGATCGAGGCACAGGGAGGGCACAGAGGAGCAGCTGGGGTGTCCCAGCCGTCACCCTTCTGGACCCACATGTGTCGTCACATTGACTTAGGACTTCCATTAGCTTCCCTGTCTTAATGAAAAGCAAGTATTTTCCTGTTGGCGCGTTCTGTGAGGTGTGACCTGAGAGGTGTGACTGTGAGGTACGGCTGTGAGGTGTGAACTGAGAGGTGAGACCGTGAGGTACACCTGTGAGGTGTGCACTGCGAGGTGAGACTGTGAGATATGGCTGTGAGGTGTGAACTGAGAGGTGAGACTGTGAGGTGTGAACCAAGAGGTGAGACTGTGAGGTATGGCTGTGAGGTGTGACCTGAGAGGTGTGACTGTGAGGTACGGCTGTGAGGTGTGAACCGAGAGGTGAGACTGTGAGGTACACCTGTGAGGTGTGCACCACGAGGTGAGACTGTGAGATATGGCTGTGAGGTGTGAACTGAGAGGTGAGACTGTGAGGTATGGCTGTGAGGTGTGACTGTGAGGTATGGCTGTGAGGTGTGAACCGAGAGGTGAGACTGTGAGGTACACCTGTGAGGTGTGCACCA